TTATTATTATTATTATTATTATTATTATTATTATTATTATTATTATTTCATTGGTTTTTTTGAGGCAGGGTTTCTCTGTATAGTCTTAGCTGTCCTGGAACTCACTCTGTGGACCAGACTGGACTAGAACTCAGAGACCCACTTTGGAGTCTGCCTCCAAAGTGCTGGGACTAAAAGCATGCGCCACCATTGCCCAGTTTGGATGCTGATTTTTGAGAAAGTAAAGTAACGTGATAGTCAAGAGTGTAATCACAGAGATTCCGTTCTTATCATAAACTTTTTTAAAATCCATTTTTTAAGAAATCTTCTGATTCAAGTCTCTTCCTTTCCTTGGGCGATGGGTTGAATGAAACCTGCAAGACTATTAGGTTAAGATTATACAGATAACTAGAGCAAAGTGAAGATACTGGCTTAGTTCTTTTTACAATACAGTGAAAGATAAAAACATTTCTGAACATGAGCAGAAAGAAAAGTTACCCTCTGCCTGACCACTGAGGTCAACCTAACCTGATTAGGTCATAGTTTCTCCTGGCTCTTATTACCTGAGACTATGAAGGAAAAGAAAATAAAAGAGAGTGAGCCGCACACTGTTAGGCCAGAGCTATGGATGACAGAGATTGGCTGTCTCTAAATGAAACTCTGACTCTAAAAATTAGCCTGTTCTTCCACACATTTCCAAGGAGAATCTAGCTGTTTCTAGAGGCTTCTGACCCAGGTCTACAGTGGTTAGGCTGCCTGCTTAGAGCCCTACAGCATGTCAAAAGTCTAGGAACCCTTTAGGTCTCACAGAAAAGTTCCCCATGGCTCTTAGTTTTAGATTTATTCTTCATAAAGTGAGTTGTTTAGTTTGGTGTTGCAAAATGGCAATGAATGTGCACAAAAGAACAGGGTTGGGGGTGAAGAAAGTGGGGCTTGGGGGTAGGGGAGGAGCAGAAGGGAGAAAAAGGAAGAGAGATAGGAAGAGAGATGAGAGAAAGGAGAGAAAGGAACACTTAAAATACTGTAAAACAAATAATTTATTGTGAAGCTTTATAGCTTTCATTTCAATTGCCAATTCTAACTGCATAGAGTTCACTTAATTGTATAAATTTATGGTCTGGTTCATTTTGGTGTGTGGTGTTTTTGTTTATTGCAAAATTTTTTAATGAGAAAGTTTATAATTTTTTTAAAAAATGGGACAGCATGAAACAAATTAAAGTTGAAATAAAACAGATGTAAACTATTTTTGGATTTAGCTGAAAAATAATAAGCAAAAATGCAAAATAAATTGAGGAAGATTGAAGCCTTTTATACTATGAAATTGGAATTACAAAAAAGCTAGTGTTTTGAATTTATGCTGAAACACATTTTCCTGCATCAAGGGTTCAGTCTCTAGGAATCTGACTCTTGGAAACACAGAGGAAGGCCACAGAGGATTTTGATTTCAGAGGGTAGAATGGATATACTTGGTGCTCTCATCCCTGGAAACTGTTAGGATGCCAGAATGAGACTAAATCAAGTGCACATGACCTGGGAAAGAAAGTATGCAATGAACGACTCAAACTCAACTCTCAACTGGGGAGGACAATTAGAGGAATACAAGTAAGAGAAAATGAGCAAAGGGAGCTTGAAGACCAGACCATGCTCCATCTCAGCAACTGCAGAGAAAGCTACTCAGCCCTGCTGAACACGGAAGGGATAGTGAGTGTAGACATGGCAGGTAAAAGGCCTTTGCCTAAGAGCTAGTCTATGTATCCAAAGCAAGGGTTTGTCCTCAAAGCCACTGGAAGGAGAAAGAGCTTAGCAGTGTAGTACTGCCCTCTCAGAGTACAGGTGTCTGGAACGAAAGGCATACACACAGGGTAGCACTAAATCACCCACCCTTCCGCTTCATCCCACATTAGTGGAAAGCAAAGGACTGCAAGACATTTGGGGGAGATTCTGAGGTAATAAAAGCCAAGTCACAGCTTCACAGAAACAGAGATTTCATGGAATAGGAGAAATTTTAAAGCAAAAGTCCTAAAATTGCCACCTCTGCAAGCCCAAGACATGAAACCAGAACAGAAGGCTCTGACCCTTCACTCGGCAGTGAAGATAAAGCCATGCTTTGTAACAGTCCCACAGCCCTATTGGAAAGTGGAAAGCAATAATGTCTCTCAGAAAACAAAACAAAACAAAACAAAACAAAACAAAACAAAAACAGCTATGAAAGAAGGTGCAAGAGCCGACAAATGTGGAGATGACAAAGAGAAAAAGTCACAAGGAAAGAGATGATCAAGGAAATAGTGGAGTTTCTTGATACTGACAGGAGACATGATTGAAACTTTTAAGTCAAACGGGAAAACTACTCTAATCAACAAATTTCTGAGCATCAAACTTAGAATGTTTTTCAAAAGAGAAAACCACAAGGAACCAGCAAGGGCAGAAAACGTTTTGTGGCCACCGGACCATCCAGACATAACATCAGCTTCCAGATAGTCAGGCAAGAATGGCTGCAGAATCCAACTGGAAAGAAATCCATATTCCATCAACTACCAGGCAGGACAGACGGAAAGAAAAGGAGACTATGGTGGCTTATATGAAAATGGCCCCCATGGGCCCACAGGAAGTGGCACTAGTAGGAGGTTTGGCCTTGTTGAAGGAAGTCTGTCACTGCAGGTGGTCTTTGAGATCTCAAATGCTCAAGCTAGGCCCAGTGTCACTCTCTCTTTCTGCTGCCTGAGGGTGCAGATGTAGAACCTTAAGCTACTTCTCTTAGCACCATTTCTGCCTGCATGCCACCATGCATCCCTCTATGACAACAGACTAAGTGTCTGAACTGTAAGCCGGCCCCAATTAAATCCTTTCCTTTATAAGAGTTGTCATAGTCATGGTAGCTCTTAAAAACCCTAAGACAGAGACACATGGAGAGTGGTTTGCCACACAAGGAGGCTATCTAATCAAGGATGAGGAGGAAAAGAAATCTGGGAAACAGCTCTGACTAGAAGCCAGTGCCTGAACATTGCAGGCACTGCAATGTTGTGACTTACAACTTTTTTTTTTTTACTGAAGTCTAATGGAGATGAGGGTAGGGGATGGGAGAGGGTGTGTCAAGGGGGTTTCTGAGCATAGGTCACTGCAGCAAAGTCTCCAACTGAAGACAGGAACTGGGTAAGAAAATGTATATAATAGAAACACAAGGTTAGAATGGCAGACAGACCATAGATAGTAGGGAGGTAGATAGGTAGATAAGAAAGTTTAGGAACAAAAGGAGAAGCCCTAAAAGGAGAAAATGAGGCCAATTGAAATAGATTTAATTGATCAAATGGAAGGCTTCTCATTTTTAAAAGTTCTTCTTTGACACTTGAGCCAGCAAGAAATGTAATGATCACATTATAACACTTGGCTTTTGTACCTTTAAATTGTATAGTTTAGTATATATGGTTGAATGAAGATGGGCCTCATAGTCTCATATATTTGCATACTTGAGTCCCAAGTCTAATGAACTGTTTGAGAAAGATTAGAAGGATCAGGAGATATTGCCTTGTTGAACAAGGTGTAACCTTGTTGGAAGAGGTCTGTCAGTGTCTTGTAAAATTTTGGCGATGAATGAGGCTACTTGTCCTACAAATCTGATGGAGGCTAAAACTGAACAGTTTTAGATTAATGGCATTGGCAGAGAAGATTTCAGGACAGCCTAGTGTTGCCTGTGTCATATGGCTATTAGTGATCACCCTTACACTGATCTACATTAAAAACCGAGCAAGTGAGGCAAGGAGGAACACAAAATATGCAGTTTGAGGAGAAAAAGAGCAAGCAAGAGAGGCGACATTAGAGTCCTGAGCTCCAGGAGAGAAAAAGGTTAAAGAAACCATTCTATTTAGTTTGGTGCTCAATAGAATAAAGGGAGTAGTAACCTCAGGCAAAGATCAGCTAAGCTTCCAATTTACGAAAAGGAATTAAAGGAAAGCTTAAGGAGAAAAGGAATCCATTAACAACTGAAAGCTGCCCAAGTGGCAGCCCCAGCAAGCAGAAGAACATGGCAGCTTCAGTTTTAGAGTCAAGGATTTAAAAAAAAAAAAAAAAGTTATAAAATCCAAGATGAAGGAAAAGCACCTAGACCAGGCATTTGACAGGGCAGTCAGTCCCCTGCATGGAGGCCCAGAGACACCGTCTGTGAAGCTGTGTGAAGCTGTGAAGGTGAAGCCTGGATTGTGCTGGAGACCTCAAGATGTAGGAAGTGCTAGAGTCACTGGATACCTGCCAAGGAGAGCTGCAGACAAGGTGTGGACCAGCCCAAGAGAGAGGCGTTGCAGTCAATGAAGCTAAAGGGAGTTGGGAATCTGAAGAGCCCTTTGACATCAGACATGGAGATGCAGAATTCGGTGTTTGCTCTGCTGGGTTTCAGTCCTGAAGTATTTCCTCACTATGCCTCTTTTCTTCCCTTTTGAGATGGTAATACATAGTCTGTGTCATTGTACGTTGGAAATAAATGATCTACTTTTTTTTATTTTGATGTTACGGAGGGTTACAGTGATTTACGACTTTGGAATGTGGAGACTACGGAGACGTTTGAAGTTGGACTGAATGCATTTTGCATCATGATACAGCAACAAGCTTATGGGGGGCCAGGGAGCAGAATGTGGTAGTTTGAATGAAAATTGCCTCCACAGGCTCATATATTTGCACGCTTAGTTCTCAGCTGATGAATGGCTTGAGAAGGATTAGAAGGATCAGGAGGTAAGTGTGACGCTGTGAGAGGAGGTGTGTCATTGGAGGTGAGCTCTGAGATTGCAAAAGCCCACACCAGTCTCTTCCTGACTGTTACCTGTGGCTCAGAATGTAAAGCTCTCAGCTACCTCTCCAGCACCATGGCTGCCAGCCACATTAGCCACCATGATGATACTGTAAGCAAGCCCGTCATTGAATACTTTCTTTCATAAGAGTTGCCTTGACCATGGTGTCTCTTCACAGCAACAAAACAGTGATTAAGACAGTATAGCTTTTGATATATTGTAAACTGAAGGAAAACAAAGTGTTCAAAAACTGGAGGGAATTAATTTTAGGGAAATTTTAGAGATGGGATTAGATGCCTAGGACTTACAGGTACACAGCACATTTGTAAACAGCACTGTTCCTTCACATCAGGATTCGAAGAACAGATCAAAGGAAAATTTTGTATTAAAATATACACTATTTAAATATTAAAAATATACTTTAAAATTACTGAATTTGAAAAAAAATTTTAATGGGTTCCCATTGGCTGTTTGCTTTACAGTGTGTCCTAGGAAGTATATTTGCCCATCTATTCTTTGGTTGGTTTTTTTGGTTTTTGGATTTTGGATTGGATAAACCATATTTTGTTCATTCATTTATCATTTGGAGGCCATTTTGATTTTTTCAAGTTCTGGCTATTATTGATAATTCTTTTATGAATATTCATGAGTAAATATTCATATGTAAGTTGCATCATTCTTTTGGTAGAAATGTTAGGGTAGATTGCTGGGTCTTGATTTAAACTGGGAAAAACTGCCAGACTCTCTTACATCCTTGCAACCAGTCTGAAAGCCTTGTGTCTCTGCTGTCTAGTGTTTCCATCCTTTCTATGATGGACATCCCATAATCTGTGGAGTGTGCCCTGTGGTTTCACATTTCCATGATATTTAAAGATGCTAATCACGTGTTCACTTGTAAATACAAAGGCAATTTTGTCTTTTACATATATGCTCTTTAGAAATATAAAATGCCTAGTCAGATCCTTACCTACAGTTTTTAATTGTGTAAAAATATATGTAACATACAATTAATTGACCATCTCGTCTATCTTTGAGTGTGTGATTTAGTGAATATTAAACACATTAGGGGACACAACGTTAATATTCATGGCAAGGCTGTCACTTCGTCAAAGGAACCTGGGTTTGAATCCAAGTTTTTATAAGTCCTTGTTAGGAATGTGGACAGGGCAAGCTGCTAAGCTTTCAGCCTGTCTTGTCACTGTTTCTTTCTTTCTTTCTTTTTGTTTATTTTGAGACAGAGTTTCTCTGTTTAGCCCTGGCTGTCCTGGAACTCACCATGTAGACCTAGCTGGCCTCAAACTCACAGATATCCATCTGCCTCTGCCTCCCGAATACTGGGATTAAAGGCGTGCTCCACCACCTTGCATATTAATTTATTCTTAATAGGTATCTTTGTTATGCCCATGATGACAAATACTGAAAATGAGAAAGTACAGTATTTGCAATGGTAAAAAGGAATTTCTTACAAATGAGAATAATCACAATCCCCCCCCCCCTTTTTTTTCTAATCTACACTTTAGGGACTGGAGAGATGGATCAGCAACTAACAGTGCTTCCTCTCCCAGAGGACCTGAGTTCATTTCCCAGAACCTTTGTCAGGCAGCTCACAACTGTCAATTCCAGCTCTGGGGCATCTTATGCCCTCTTCAGGCATCTGTGGGTACCTGCACACACATAAATAAAAAATATATATATATATATTTATTTTTTTTTTTTTCAATTTACTTCGATTTACCAGACTCTGGAAATTTAGGGTGATGTTTAAATTTACTTTAAATATCTGCCAGACACCCTGCTAAATACAGCACCACACTTAATTCCAGTGGGGGAGGGGAGTGAGACAGCTACGTAAGCCAAAGTCTGAAGACATTCACTGATTCATCCATCCTGTATCCTCTCATTTCTGCCAGGCATTGGAAAGGAGGAAACGTTTATCTAGTATAGCTTCAAACCACATTTGCTGAGGCCAGGCTGGTCATTTCCATCTTAAGTAAAACTCAGATTCCTTTCCCACAGTAGTATGAAGTTAAAAATGTCAACTGTGCCACGCTGGAGGGAGAGAGTTTTATCTTCCTTTAACGAGGCGGTATAATGACTGCCCTGAATTGATCTGGATGCATATAGTGATGTGTTCGAGCTCTTATGTAGATAGGCATTTAGTAATTTTGATTTTAAAAAGAAAAACTCCTATTGAAGAGGAAAATTTCTCTTTTTGTTCTATTTCCTCCTTGAGCATGCAGCAGACACCAGGCCAGGTATCTACATTTGTATCATGGAGCCAGATAAGAACTATTCATCAGCCAGATCTGAGATTCATATCAATCTCTTTCTCCCCCCTCTCTTCCTTCCTACTCCCCCCCCCTTTTGCTTGTTTGTTGAAACAGTGTTCCCATGTAATCCATGCAGGCCTCAAAATCCCTATGCAGCCCTGGCTGGCCTGGAACTCACAATAGTCCTCCTTCTTCAGCCTTCCAAAACCTAAAAGGTATTCCAGGTGTGTGCCCAGATCAAATGCCACTCTCTCACCTGTGCCCATCCATGCTCTAAGCCGGGTTCCTACATCCTAGCCCTCAGCACACTGCCGCTTATGGCTGTGACATTATTTCTAATGATAAACTGATCAGTGTTTATTTTCCCCCTCAGATGATACAGTCAAGGAGCATATACAGTTTTTCTTACCAATCTAGCCCTAAGGTATAGCGAAGTGATTGGAAGGGGACGGGAAGGGGACAGGTTTTCAGTAACATTATGAACTAATAAAATGAGTGAATATACAAGTGAAAAATGAACAAGCATTACAGAAGCAAAAAAAAAAAAAAAAGGACAAGTTCTTATTTCTTCAACCTAGCCCTAGCCACTCTTCTCAGCCCTACTCATTTCTTAGAGGGCGAGAAGGATTTCTTTAAAAAATCTGTTCACCTAGAGTTTAGCAGTAAGCTCTCCTTATCTATAAATACTCCATGCCCACTGAACAAATGCATGAGCGAAACATACATGAGAAATGTTACTGTGTGAATTGTGGAAGAGAAAGAAGAGTGATAAGTGATATTCCGTTAGTTGGAAAAAAAAAAAGAAGAAAAAAAAAAACGTTCAGTAACACTACTGAAATAAAAGAAGTCCAGGGGCACAGGGCAGGGGGAAACACAGCGGCATACGGCTAGCATTAGGAAAAGCAACGATTTCACAGAACGAACGATTAGATGCAAAACTGCACAGCTTCCTCTTTGAAAACAGGGTGTTGTTTCAGAGGATGAAAGGCTCTGATTCAACCAGTCCAGAGCACGCGTTTGCTTGTTCAAGGACAAGCTGCAAAGCAGTGTTCTATTGACTGCAAAGTCATAGGTCATTTGAGTGTTGGGGGTTAGGTTAGTGGGTTGCAAACAGCATTTTAAACAAATGGAAGAGAGTTTTAAAAGCATTCTATTTTCTCTCTTCCCGGAAAAAGGTTTCCCACAAATTTGTTTCATATACATACATACATACATATCTGTGCTAGACTAGACGATAAAATGTGCTTCTCCTCATGAGTCACACCAGTCTCTAGAATAGTTATTATTAGCATAATCTCCAAGTGGGGAAGCTAATCCTAGTTCTAAAACAATGTACCTAGCCAGTATAAGCCTTTTGGGAGGTGGTAGGGGTCATTTTGTTTTGTTTTCTACTTTTGATGACACAATAGTCCAGGTTTAACCCAAAGGCAGCAATGGTCTACAATGTACAAATATGTAAAGCAGTAACATAGAATCATAACTGACACATAAGACTTTTAAATGTTCCAAGTGTCACCTCCTTTCAGCTACAAATCTCCATCACTGTGAGTTTTATTACCCTGCATCCTGAAGGCAAGTTGTAGTGTGTAAAAACACCACTGTACTCGTAAGTAATGGAGAATACTAAATAGCAGAAACTTGTAATACTGATTCTAAGCCTTCTCACTACAGACAGCCCATTTATACTGAAAAAAAAAAAAAGTCAACTACCTCTTCTCCAACTGTAATGTTCCTTAGTGTTGTAGTGTTTACTCTTTATGTACTGTGATCAGAAAAAAAGATAGATGTGTTTTCAACTCTCATGGGATAAGGGGTTGCACTTTGTTTTCTCGGATCAAATCCCTATACCCAGCTATTGCTATGGACACATGATGAACAGACTTGTTAAAGTAAACTGAAGAAAATAAAGCCTTTTAAGGATGTTTAAAGATCTAGAAGTCATCTAAAGCGCAACCTTAGATATTCCGGGTTAAAATACTTAAAAAGTGACCTTTTGGAAATTAAGTCCTTGTGCCCAGGAACAATTCTTGGGGTTTGGAACATCTTCCCAAAACAATTTTTTCATTCTGCAAAGGAGAAATAAAGCACTATGATTACATGAACGGTCAGAATGAAAAGACATCAGCCGTTAGCATACAGGGTCAGCACTGGTCCACTGGATCAGCTCGGTCAGGCCAGATCCATGTTCACATTTGACTCCATAAAGTGTTCACTTCACTCTGTGAAGAGCAAATTAACAACCAGCCTCCTCTTACTGTAGGCCAGGCACTGTGCTAACTCCCTTGCCTAGGTTTTCCTTAGAAAATATTTTAAATGGCCATCACCTGGGCTGTGAGAAACAAGGCCGATTGATATGGTCCCACCCCACTCATTCAACTAAAGCACGAGGTCAGAGTGTAGCATCTTCCTCCCTTCGTTTTTTGAGAGAGGGCTAAGGCTTCTATAGATCTGACGTGTGTGAGATAATCTCGTGGGCTGGGTGTCTCAGCAGAGTGCTGCGGCCACCACAGAGCCACCAGAAAACTCAAGGGCGTTTGTCGAACCAGACACCCTGGAGCTTTCTGCAGCAGAGTGGAGTCCTCTGAGAAGCAGAGTGCTGCCTGCTGCCGTGGTGAAATGCTTCCAGTTGACATGAAACATCTGCTTTGAAGGTCTCACGATCTCACTGAAATCTCCAGTCCAGACTGCAGAGCCCTAAAAGCCATTTTTACCAAATCTAAGGGCACATTGCCCAGGATTTTCTGTTATGAGTCAGCTGGTTCCTGAATGGGTACACAGAATTGTTGTTTGTTTTGAGACCGGGTTCCTCTGTGTAGCCCTGGCTGTCCTGGAAGTCTCTCTGTAGACCAGGCTAGCCTCAAAATCAAAGAGATCCACCTGCCTCTGCCTCCTGCGTGCTGGGATTAAAGATGTGTACCACCACTGCCTAGTTCACAGGAAAAAAATTTAAAGCTGAATTCTGCCTTCAAGTGTATGTTGTCATACTAAGATGAAAAGTCATTTCCTGAAAACAACCTTTCCATTTGTGTCATGTTAGTAGCATATGAGATACATATAAAAAACATTTTAACGCATTTAAGTTTGTTAATATTATGAGTTTGGCTTTATGTCAGGCTTTGAATGTACTTAAGTTACACTCTTTATGGTAAAAGCCCTTAACCAAGTGCAATACCTCTGGTGTGAGATTAACAGTGTTCCAAGCAGCAGGACACAACAGGAAATAATTATGGGCACAATCACATACAGCCCGGCGTCATTCTTCTGCTTGTCAACATCATCTGAAAGAGAAACACGAGTCAAACGGTCATCCCCTTACAAAGACGATTCTGTAAAACAACAGGCGGAACATACACTCTAATTTCATCATGCCTGTGTTACCTTCGAACATACAGAAACATGCACATATTCTAATCCCACTCACTGTGTCTATATTACCTTCAGCCACACAGAAACCTTAAAAAGAAGAAAGCAGAGGCCACACAGATGGCTCGGGGGTTAAGAGCACTGGCTGCTCTCACAGAAGGCTGTAGTTCACTTCCCAGCACCCATATGGCGGCTCACAACCATGTATAACTCCAGTGCAGGGTATCCGATTGCCTCTCTGGCCTCTGAGGTATCAGGAATGCATTTGGTACACACACATATGTTCAGGCAAAGAATCATGCATGGAAAAATTAAAATAAATAAATATTTTTAGAGGAGAAATAAAGATACATTGTGTCCACATTAAGAGCTGTTTTGACTAATATCATACTCGAAATTTAGCAAACCATTGTTTTAGAACAGTGTACTTGCCAGGCCTCTCCAGCTAACTGTTTTTTAAGCTCTGAGTCAGAGCATCAATTAAACTTTCCATGATGAACTCATGATCTGCTCCTGCAGACCCTACTGCCAGCACCCGCCAATCTTCATTTTCAGCTGTAGACACACTGGTGTCCTTGCTGCTGAAGGCCTCGGGGCCTTTTCGTGAGCCATTCTGGCCTGATGTTCTTTTTGTTTTTTTTTAATATTTTTTATTTTTAAATAATTTTATACATTCATTTGTATCCCAGCTGTAGCCCACTCCCTCTTTCCCTTCCAATCCTCCCCTCCCTCCCTCATCTCCTCTCTGCCCCCTTCCTAGTCCACTGAGAGGGGGTGTCCTCCTCTTCTTCTGTCTGGCCCTAGCTTATCTATCTTCAGGATGGTTGCAATGTCCTTATCTGTGGCCTCACAAGGCTGCTCCTCCCTCAGGGGGGAGGGGAAGCTCATGAGTTCATGTCAGAAACAGTTCTGTCCCCCTTACTAGAGAACTCACTTGGATACTGAGCTACCACGGGCTATGTCTGAGCAGAGGTTGTAGGTTATATTCATGCATGGTCCTTGGTTGGATAAACAGTCTCATAGAAGACCCCTGTGCTCAGATATATTTGGAGCTTGTGAGGCTCCCTGTCCCCTCTAGGATATACTAATTCCTCCTTCTTTCATATGATTCCCTACACTATGCCGAAGGCTTGGTTATGGGTCTCAGCATCTGCTTTGATACATTGCTAGGTAGGGTCTTTCATGGCCTGATGTTCTTGCTGCTGCCTCAGCTACCATGTTCACTCCTCAGGGTGTGGCACATGGCACCCCAGCTTACAGTGTTCCTCCCTCCCGTACTCAGAGCTTTGCTCAAGCACCAGAGCCCAGAGAAAGACCATCTCCACCCTCCCTCCACCACCGTTTAACTCTGTCATCACCTCACCTGTATTTGCCTTCAAGGCACTGACTTTCACCTGGTGCTGGATCTTAAATAATGCATTCACAGACCATCACTGCCTGTGTAGCCGTGAGACTTAAGTTCCGCAAAGGCAGACTTATGTCCCCCCAGTTAGTGTCCAGTTCTTAGAACAATGTTCAACATGTATTTGTTGAGTAATAAATATTATTCTAGAAGCAAGTACAATGCTTCTCTTTTGAAACTCTATCACTGTGTTACTTGGATTTACTAACTTAAAAAGCAATAAAAACCTTCCCCCTGGTTGGGGGGGGCAGTCTTGCCAGGCCACAGAGGAAGACAATGCAGCCAAGTCCTGATAAGACCTGATAGGCTAGGGCCAGATGAAAGGGGAGGAAAACCTCCCTTATCAGTGGGCTAGGGGAGAGGCATAGAGGGAAAAGAGGGAGGAAGGGGGTAGGGACTGAGAGGAGATGAGGGAGGGGGCCACAGCCAGGATGCAATGTGAATAAATTGTAACAAACAAACAAACAAACAAACAATAAATAAATAAATAAATAAATAAATAAATAAATAAATAAATAAAATTTAAAAAATATAAAGGAAAAGTAATTAAAGTAAGGGTAAGCACAGTAATCCAAACAGAAGGTATCCGGTGAATTTAATGATCCAGTTTCAGACAAAAGAAAGAGAGAATTTTCTTAAACAACCCAATGACAGCTCTAGGGAAAAATCCCAGCTCTACATGATCCTATAAGGAAGAAATTAATTCAGTGATAGTATAACTGCCAACAAACGAGGAAATACATAGAGAAAAGAAAAAGTAAAGGAGGGCCAGGAGACACCTCTGCAGGGAAAGCACTTGAGCTCAATCCCCAGAACCTGGAGTAGAAGGAGCAGGGTACCAAGGGTTGTCCCTGGCCTCCACTTGGGTGGGGGATAAATGTGCATATCAGCATCACACATATAACACACAAATACTTTCTGTTTTTTAAAGAAAATACTTTTGTTTTTACCTTCGGTGAAACCATTAATTATCTTTGGTTTTCCAATTCCTTCCATAAATACTGGGTAAAGAGTAAACTGATACTTCTCAATGGGAATGAAATTATCTGAAAAGAAAAACAAAGTTCCTGCTAACTAAGAATAAAATCTATATAGAAAACTGCAGCTTATGCTGTCCCAACACTAGTCATTATTTCTGGATTGGCTTGATGGCTAAAGAAATTTCAGAAATAACCTCAACACCCCAAAGTTTGCTAGTAGTGATACTGGTTTTCAGATACGTTTTCAAACCTTCTAAGACACAAATGACTGGTTTTCCAAGGGCATGTGCCAGTGAGAGCCAATTTGTTCAAGCTCAAGGCACATTTTCTTTTGTTCCTGAATGTGCTACCCCAGGCTCGCATGTTCTCCCTTCTAGTATCCTTGGAGTAGGGAAGATTCTCTTTCTAAGTGAAGTTAGCTTACTCAGTTTTCCCATAGAATGTTTTCCCTTGTAGAAGTCGCCCAAAAAGAAGTTCTCTTGTGCTGCGTGAGGGTCCCAATACACGGAGAATGACGACCCCCACAGCCATGTTCAACACAGACCTGGCATTGATTCCTGAAGATGCTAATGGTACTAGACCAGCAGCCCATAACAGGCAGAGCTCTGAGAAGCATGGTTCATCATCCCTCTGGTTCACAGTGCATTTACCATGGACTTGCTTCCCTGCTTATAATTTATAAATAAATTTAGGCGTTGATAATTAAAGGAAAGTGTGGTTCCTTTAGATGGTGTAAGGCCAGGGCAGCTCCTCGCCCCTCTACTTAACCTCCCTTCCTTCTGGCTCTGCCTGGAGCTGTTGATGTCATTGGCTCTTAACTCTCTCAGTAACTGGCCACTCTTGGAGGGATAACACTGACCTAGGCCAGTAGGTCCAGAGTCTTCAGACTCCCAGCCTAGCCCTCCCACTCACTGCTTAGTACATTATTATAATTGGGTACTGAATTGGAGGGAAATCTGGCATCAGACCTTAGAAGATTTTAAAAAGTAAGACCGAAGCAATATGAGCTCAACTAAATAAATACCTTATGTACACTTATAAAAGGTTATATGATCATCACATGTTCTGACAGAAAGGGTTAGGGAGAAGGTTTAAGACGTCTGATTGCATCTGTGTAAAACATAAAAGAAAAATGCTCACAGACATGCAGTAAACTTTCTGACCGGGCAACCAGATTATAATTCAGTTGGTAGTACCTGGAATCCTCATTTTGAGGTTGTCATGAACCAGTTTATCATCTGAATCGTCAGTCTATAGTGTCAGACTAACTCATGGAAAGAACTGTAAACATACCATGGATATAATACTTCTTAACGTTCGAAGGGATTCGAAGCCATTTCATTCCATCATCTTCATTAAGATTCTTCCATTCAATAATCAGGTACAGTAGGTTGTAACCACCAGGTGATAGTGTCCAGGACAGGACCACACAGGTGCTGCTCAGGGGGTAAGCACTGAGTGACTGCACAGCATTCACTGAGAGGAAGAGGAGGAATTCATTTTAAATTCAAGGTGAATGAAAATCTACTAACTGTCTTGAGAAATAACAGATAAACGGAGAGGGAAGAGGAGGCCGACAATTTCTACAAATGTCACGGAAATCACACAAGCAGAACGTAGGCGTCTATGACTTGGAGAAGAAGAAAAGAGATTCTACCTCAAATCTAAAAGTTTTGAATTTTGGTAGGATCAAACTTGTTCTCGGCTGGAACTCCACACAAGTCTATTAACCACCCTCTCTGACATCCACTCGATCTTCTCTCCCACTGGTGAGTGAGACTTTCAAAGAATGCCCTCAGCGGAGTCCCTTCAGAAAGCCTTGGTGGATATCCACATCTGAGGAGGCCATTCCTGTCATGTCTACGTGACCCACGGGCCATGCCCCAACCCACGAACCACCCTTGTTTTACTTCATCTCTTGCCCTGAGTTGTGAACACCTGACTAGGTGTGCATCTACTGGGAGCCAAGACTTCCCCACCCCAAACCTGTGGGAGGAAATTTAGTTCCTGTCAACATCATTTCCTCAACATGGTTTCTCTACCCTCAACCTAAGATCAAGCTCCTGTTTACTTTCTTTCAAAAAAATCATATCCCTGTCCAGGCATGGTAGCACATGACTTCTATCTCAGCATTGACAGGACAGAGAGACAAGCAGATCTCTGTGAGTTTAAGGCTATACTGGTCGACATAGTGAGCACCAGGCTAGCCAGACCTACATAAGGAGAACCTGTCTCAATTCCCAGGACTCACATAAAGGTGGAAAATGAAATCAACTCCACTAAGTTGTCTTCTGACTTCCACATACATGCTGTATTATGTGTTCTCATAAATGCACACCACACATGCACACACTCACAATGATATACATAACAATTTCAATTAAAAATAATAAAATTGTCCTTAATTTTTTAGAATGTGCCCTGAACTTTAAAGAAGGGATATAACATATTCAAGCAAAAATTAAAGACTTCCCGAAAGAAGTGACCCTTGGAAAAGGCTAGCAGGGTGGTAGAGATGCCAGAAAATGAGCATTTTCTATTTAAAATGATGTGTTCAATACACAATCCAGATTAGAGGTTCCTGTCGGAAGTGCCTCTTGAGCCAGCAAGGCAGCCCAGCAGGCAAAGGCACCAGCACGAAGCCTGACAACCTGAGTAGGATGTTCCGGGACCCACTTGTTGGAAGGCAAGAACTAACTCCCACAAGCTGTCCTCTGACCTCCACATACACACTCTGACATGAGCATCCCTCCAAAATTAATTAGCTTTAAAATATGCATTTGTGAAAAGAAAGTATCAATGCTCAGAATAATCAAATATACCAACATTAATAAAGGGGAGGTGTTCACTACCCACCTCAAATAAAGTCCGCAACAGTTTCCAAGTCTCAGAAATTAATGTGAGTCCATATAGCTTATCATGCTGTTACTAAAATGCATAGTATTTTATATATAAGTAAATACTATAAATGTACTACATGGAAATATATATCATAATATATACACTATGTACTTATAGGGTACTATATGTAACAAAATACTTTATATTTATGTTAAAAATGCTCTATAGTCTAATTTTTAAGAGAGAGAGTGACCTTTGTTAGTCTAAAGGGTTTAAGTATTAGATTCACTGGAATATTCTATTGTTGATAATGTCATTTCAGAAATGTTCAGATGAACATAGTTATTGGTTTGCCCTCTGTTTCTCACATAGAAAAGAGAATAAGTATGAAAGTGGATCCTGGACTGCTCAGAGGAGATTTTAGATAAGAGGGGCTGTATAGAGGTTACATACTAAAAGGGGGTGTCACACCCCGACTAATAAATCTTCAGTACAACCTGTGCACCTAAGTCTCAGGGAAAACCATGGAACAGGGAAGGGAAGACTTGTAGAAACCAGAGGCCCAGGGCATCTACTGTTGACAGCGTCCCCTAGACATGAACTCTAAACAATACGGCTGCCTGAACAAGACAAGCAGAAGTGGCAACACCAGTTGACCTGCCAATACGGTCAGGGGAAATGCCACATGGTGACCCGCTCCTCCAGCCCACCCCATGAGGTGCTACAGGTGACCAGTGTCTGCTGAGAGAGGATGGACCAGTCACCTCCCTCAGAGATTGGCTAATCCCAACTGGTCAGCCCTGGACACATGTACATACGGGCAAAGCTAAATGGACTCAGATAGGTTACGTTACCGTGTGTATAATGTTTAATAAATAACAAAGAAGAGACTGTGAATTTTGGAGGGGGTTCGTGGAAGGAACTGGAGTGGAGAGGGGCAAGAATGATGTTGGTGCGGTGCTATAGAAGAAGAGTCATGCAGTCAGGCTACGGCACAATTTAGTAGCGGGGCTGAACTAATCACAGTAAACAAGAGGGTTCTGCATGAAAACAAACCACTAGGGTGGCCAGCTCCTCAGCCTCCCTTACCTTTACTCATGGGCCGTGAGAATGTCAGGTTAAAATTTGCAAGGGAGGCGCCGATGGAATTGATGGCCAGAACTGTAACCGCGTGCGCCTGCTCTGCCCACAGGAAAGTGAGGTTGGTCTGATTGCCCGCGTCTTCTGACCACGTCCCGTTGTGGGCGGTCCGGTGCTGCACCACGTACCTGCTCACGCTGCACATTGAGTCGTTTCTCCTCAGGGGCTGCAGTAAACACAGAAATTGATCAGCGCACAGACCACAGCGTTGGCAGCGGCCGAGCTCAGGGAGTTCTTACACACTCCCAACCAGGAGACAGGAGTTAAGGCCAGGACGGTCACTGTTCAACCTAGGGCTAAGGAATCGGGGGAGGGGGTTGGGAGTTAAAACCGTGCAACGCAGTAGGCATGAGCGTATCTAGGAATCAAGCAGCACAGGGAAATTATTTTTCCCCTTTTGATTTTTTTCTTTCTTCAGACCCAGAGGTTAAATCCCTTAAAGACAGTGAAGTAAGAACACAAATTAGAACATTTGAAATACCAAGAACACATAGGAAATACTAAGCATTTTCACTCTAATCACTGAGAAAGGCTGACAAGGAAGGTTCCTCGCCTAACAAGCAAGCAAAGGTTCGGCCGAGGAACAAGGAAGCTCTGGTATTTATCGCCACTTGGAGAATCCAGGTAAATCTGCCACTGTTCTCCCAGGATGTGCTTGGAAGATCATCTAAAGCAACAAGAGTTTTTGTAAACAAATGAACAAACAACCTTAAAGTTCAACAAATAACTGAGGATTTCTGGGCAGTTTATGTGGCCCTGAGCATTTCTGTACCATAGCTTTTTATTTAAAAAAAAAAAAAAAAAAAAAAAAAAAGGACCACGTTATGGAAGACTCCTGTGTAAAACTCATGCCAGCTCCAATGCTGCTCTTCCATTCTGAGGAGTCTAGCAATAGCCTTCACTTCTCAGCTACCTTTACCTACTGCAGGTAAAACTGAATGCTGCCAAGTCCTTAGAAAGCTACAACAAGCTGAATTTTATAACACGGACTAGGACAAGTGTCTCCAAGTCAGAAGTGACAGAGACACAGTCACCCAGATGCATGCATGTATCCTCAGTGGTAGGAACCTCAGGGATGGAAGGGTGGAAGCAACCATCATAAGGAAAGGAAAGAAAAAAAAAAACTATCTAAAGAAAGACCAGTTTTATTTTATCTGAAAAAGTCTATGCCATTTTGATGTGTTAATATTTAGTTTTGTAACCATTAGTGTAAAAAAAATTCAAAGATATTACAAGGTATCTATGGTTCACCTGTATATATTACTGCTCCAACATTAAAATGAACATTTCTCTGTAGCCTTAATTTCTTTGATTGGATAATAGTGTTAGAAACATTTCTTCCTCCAGGACTGTCTGAACTTCTAGGCCCTCTTAGCTTCCAAAATCAAGGAATACACACATCTCTAAATATTTCTGTAAGAATACACCTAAGCTTACCATGAGTTCACATTGCTCGCTAACTCCAGCCTATGACTACAGCAATCATTTTGGCTGAGCAGTGAAAAATGTGCTCACTTCTATTCGTCTTCCTAATTTTTCCATTCCAAGATATAGACTAATGTTATTCACAACTGTTAGCCTACATTCCTGGGAGAAATGTACAGCTCCAAAGTATCTCTGTAGTGTCTTCCAGCTTTCACATTTCACACTCCTTTCCAAAATTAATGAAGCCTTTTCCCTTGCCGCCCTCAGTGAGGTCATTTCATATACTTGTGACAGAGACATCTTAGTCATAATCTGTGTTTCATGCTCGAATCTTCCACTCTATGCTTTTTTTTTTTTTAAGTCTGTGTACTTTAAGGTTTAATCTTTGTCTTACAAAGTTTTAGGTTTGGGCAAATGTGTAGTGTACTGTGCCTGCCATTTCAGCATTTCACAAAAGAGTAGATTAATAATTATGAATACAGTGAATAACTCATGTACAAGTTTTCATGTCACCCAGGGAAGCATCTATGAGCAAGACACTCCATCAAGGCTATGTTTAACTTGCAAAGTGGCTGCACAATTTTGCATTTCCACTAACAGCAAACCAAGTTTCTTGCTGTTCTGTATTCTCAACCAGCAATTTAAAATATATTTAAACATAATTAGCCTTTCCTCCTTCCTTCCTTCCTTCCTTCCTTCCTTCCTTCCTTCCTTTCTTTCTTTCTTTCTTTCTTTTTTCTTTCTTTCTGATACAGGGTTTCTCTGTGTAACCTTAGCTGTCATACACTTGCTTTGCTTTGTACACCAGGCTAGCCTCTAACTCATAGAGATCTGGCTGCCTCTGCCTCCCCCAGGGCTGGGATTATATGCGTGTGCCACCATGACTGGCATAATTAGTCATTTTAATAGATGTGAAATCATGCCTTGTTGCTGTTTTACTTTATAAATCCTCAACAATGACAAACAATGTTGAGAATCTTTTTGTGTGTTTATTTGTCACCTGTGGGTCTGCTTTGGTTACATTTCTATTCATGTATTGGTCCCTATTTTTGTTGGGCTATTTGTTTTTGTTTTTTGCCTTTTTTTTTTTGACACTGAAGCATCCTTGCTGCAATGAACTTTTTATTCTCTTGAAGTCTTTCCCATGTCAGAATTTATTTTAATAAAGCTCAACTTAGTAACACTGAAAAACTGACAATATGGTTGGTGAGACTGCATAGCTTTTGCCACCAAACCTGATGACTTGAGTTTGATTTCCAGAACCCACATGGTAGAGAGAGAACCAACTTTTGTAAATTGTCCTCTGACACCACACATGTGTCAGGGTTCTCAGGTGTCCACACAGCACACAATAAAGAAACAACAAATAAATGAATGTAAAAACAGTTGTTGTTTTTTTAAATAACACCTCCCATGATGGGGATATGTCAGAGACATGGCTCATTTCAAAGAGGCTCTGAAGACTGGAGTAGGAAAACTATGAACAATGTAATAAAACAGTTCAGACTGAGCGTCTCTAAATCTGGTGTCCAATCATGCTGAAATCCCAAACTGCTAACATGAAGCCCAAGAAACTTCAGATCTGGGAGCACTTTGAATTTCAGATGTATGATTAGAAATGTTTTGCTGAGCCAGGAGCAGTGGCACATACCTGTGATCCCAGCACTCAGGGAGGCAGAGGCAGGTGGATCTCTGTGAATTCAAGGCTGTTCTGGTCTACAAAGCAAGCACAGAACAGCCAAGGATACGCAGAGAAACCCTATCTCAAAAAACAAAACAAAAGGAAGGAAGGAAGGAAGGAAGGAAGGAAGGAAGGAAGGAAGGAAGGAAAGAAGGAAGGAAGGAAGGAAGGAAATAAAATGTTTTACTGATAAAGGATGTACAAGTATTCCCAAATCCAAAGCTTTCAAAAGTATTTCTGGTAAAAAAAAAAAAAAAATGCTCGGTCCATATTAGATTATGACCAAATGAATAACTAAATCTTCATAGCCCGTGCTCATTGACATAAATAAATGTGAGGCAATGTGAGTCTGCCATTAGAAAGAATTCTAAATCATTTTTTCACAGATTCTTTATAAGCTATGTATCACAGATACTTTATTGATGATACAACACTGACTAACACTGAAATTCTACTGGCTTAAGAAAGCAAAGCAACACAAAACAGAAAGTGAATTCATTCAAAGAAAGGCATTCTAGTACTCTGAGAGACATCAGGTTAGTAAAGATGCTATCTCTGCCTTCAGAGCAACCGTCAGGAACGTATATTGTTCTACTATCCAATATGACAGTCACCAGCCACCTGTGACTGTTTAAATTTAAGTTAACTAAATTAAGTAAAAAGTGAAAATTCATATTTTGCATCACATTGGACACAACTCAAGCCATAAAGCCACAGGTGGCAGACACATTTGGACGATGCACTTACAAACTGTTCTTGCAAATACAGAACGTTCCACCAGGCAACATCACTGAGGAAACATGGGAAGCATGGGAACTATCTGGAAAGAAGAGCCATTGCTCATTCAAGGTCATGATGGAGTATGAGGAAGGAGAAGAGATTTACTGTAGCCTGGGCCACAGGAGAGTTGTCACAGCTATCAGGAAAGAAAGAGATTCTAATATCTGAGCCAAACCACTGCAGTAACTCTCTGCAGGAACATTCAATATTGAACAAATATCAGTGTCAATTCTTAATGTTACTTTCAAGTAAAAAGGTCAAAATGAACAACAGTTTCAAAATTGCATTACCATGTAAACAAAATTACATAGTAACTGGAATCACATACTAAGTGTATATAAGCTCTTACACCAATTTTGATATAGATCAGGTAACTGTTTTTAAACATGCATTAATTTCCTTCCTCATGGGAACTGAAATTGATTTGACATTTATATAATAAATACAACATTGCCTAGCTCATGTAGTTTATTACTAAATCAGTCTTAAGCTTGAAATCTGCTTATGAAATTATTTACTTGGGATAGAAGTAACTCTTTAGGAGAATGGAAGCTTTGGCATTTCCGCTTGACTATCCATCATTATGGAAAACACTCATCCTCTGCCATCCATAGGTCAAATACTCTTTTACATTTCGTGTGCTTGAAGTGTGAGGAGAAAAGCCATGTTTACTGGATCCAATAAATAGTATGCTTAAAGCAATACTAATTATCATTTCGTAATCTTATCCTGATACAAATGACAAATGTGAAGCCCAAAGGGTTCGAGACTTTGCCAGAATTGCAATGACATGATTGTAATTGAACTGAGGAAACAATAAAGGCACCTGGTGATGCCAATACTCCAGATACTCAGCTCTGAGCAACTATACCTCCCAACGCATTAAAACAGAAGATCTGGGGTCATCTGTGAGATAAACAATTACAGGGTTATGAACAAAGAACAGACAAACACAACTTCAGACTAAAGTAAAAGGCAGGAATTAGAAATACCTTCCAAAGCAAGGTGACATTTCTCTCCTTTTTAGTAACATCGCCATCCATTAGTCTCCAAACTTCAGGTCCTCTCAGGGGAGCTGCGGAATGACAAGGAGCCCAAGTTGGATACATGTCCTTGGAATGAATGTTTTCAGCCACATTCGCAGCACCCACTTCTGTACTTCCAAGAAACATTAACAAACGTTCACAGACCTTTCACATCCATGACGCGCGTGTAGGCTGGCCTGCTCCAGTTGCTCCAGTACCCCAGTCCATCCGACCGCCTGCAGCGCACCTGTGCCACATAGACCGCACAGAGGTCCAGCACCGGCAGGCTGGCTGACTTGGATTTTACATCGAATACCTCGTGTATCTGCAAAGGAAGTCACACTGTCAACGCATGCGCCTCCCATGGGTCCTGAAGTGCACTTCTTTTAAAAACCTCACACTGTTCCACGCTTAAGACGGAGTGATGTTCTGTTTTCCCACGTCAGCAACACTTCAGTGAAGTTTGGCCAGCCAAAGGAGCGCTGCCTCCCACATCTGTTCCTTCCCTTGTCAATTAGATGTCCTTGCAAAGTCAGTCCCAAACACACTCTTACCCTACTGCTAATCCTTGTCCTCTGATGGTCTCTCTACCACAAAGACAGAATTCTAACATGGTGGTCAGATAGGGCCTCTCTAGAGAATGGAACGGATAAGACTCACAGACTCCACAGCTGAGGTCAATGATGTATTCAGGGTTTCTTGTATTTCCAGTCTTAGCAAGCTGCTGCTACCAAACTGACATAAAATTTCCCATGTGCACACTCAACACTATGATTTTTATTTTTAATCTGTCCCATGCAGACATACACTGAAAGATATAAGAAGACCTTAGAAGAAATGTGGGTCCCTGGAAAAATGAGTATGGGGGGAGGGATGAAACATCAGTGAAGGCCTTCTGCAAACCTTTAATGTCATAAACTGTATCTCTACCCTAGAAAGGTACAATGAGTCGATTTAACCTCGTAATCTCTTTTTCACAGAACACTTCATTGAGAAAAATGTCCTGTCAAGAAGCCTTTGGGAAATGTTGGGATTAAGACTTTTTAATTTAATTTAATCCTTACAAGGATTAAACTATGGCACTCTAAGTAATGAAAGTAACTACACAGTACAGGAGAGTATACTCTTTGTATGTATATTTCAATAAAAATGGGATGCAGTCAAAGTCTGAAACACTATGAGAGGCTGTTGCATGTTTAACTCTCAGCAGCTGTGATCATCTGCATGACGCATGCACGAGGTTGGCCATGGAGGAAAGAGGGGCTCCACAAGGCCCCCACTTCTCCCTGAGGACTTTACTGCTTCTGGGGGAAGGTGAGACATTTTCTTTAGTGGTATAGCCACTGATGAGCTGCCCATGCTCCTGTGAAAAACATCCTTACCAAAGATGTAGATGGGCAACTGGCTAGGAAGAGGGAGGGAATCAATGGTAGCGTAGATAAGAGTAGGTAAGAGGGGGCATATATGATAAAAAGATACCATAATGAAACCCAGTATTAAGTATTATTAGTATATGTTCAGAAAACACTTAAATAGCAGGGGTTTACAAGTTCAAAGCCAGCTTTGGCTACCGAGTGATTTTGAAGCTAGCCTGGGCTATACAGAGATACTCCAATTTAAAAACACACACACACACACACAGAGAGAGAGAGAGAGAGAGGAGATGGATATTAAAGGAGAAGAAAACAGTTTAAAGTAAAAAGTACCTTCCATTGTATTTCTTTTCCGTTTAAGCCATATCGAATCTGGAACTGAAGGTTATTCTCTGGAAAGACTGGCTTTTCCCAAGATATTTTCAGTAATCCAATGTTTACAGTAATTTCTGCTTTCACACTAGATGGAGGTAACGGTTTTACTAGAAAAGTTAAAAGAAATAATATTATATAACAGTAACCATCTTTCTACATCATATTTACAAAGCAACATTGTTTTTAACGTCTTGTGCCCACTGTGGTGAGCGCTTCATTGAATGGCGCCATGGGTTCAGCTGCCTTAGCAACATGCTAAAATGGTTAAGTACTACACTTTCACACTAGCAGGCAAGAAAGTTTTCTCCTGGGGGCACACCCTCCTCGCTCAGATCCCATCAGTTCCCCCTCAGCAGCTACCATGAGCCAGCATCAGGTAGAGCCTGAGGTCTCAAGGATGATGGCCAGGATGCTCCTCTTATTTGATTACTTTGATGGGTACCTCTGACACAACTCTCCAAAGAGAGATGGACCTTGAATGGTGTATGAAGTACACAACTGTAGTGGCTGCCAGGGACACAACCCATAACTTTAGAGCCATGTACAGACATTGCATAGGGGGAGTCGGGAAAGGCCTCTGTAGACACTCCTCAACTTGTGGATTCCGTAAGCTCTGCAGGTCAGGACACTGTTGAGTCATAGGGAACAAAGAAGAGCTGGCTCACACCTGAGTGCTCGCCATCAGGCTCTTCTTCCAAGTCTCACTTCTAAAAACAACTACCGTGTAAAGAGTGTGCTCTCTTGTTTGGGCAGTGCATTTTAATCACGTAAGACATCAATGCTAATAGTTTAGAACAACCAGGACGAAATACCTCAATTTGCCACTAGTGCGGAGTTTCTCACGATCATTAAACTCCTCACAGCTCATGAACGAGTTCATCGCCAAGCCAATAGAAAGATAAAGTGTTTATCTCTGGAAGAGGCCATTTCTTTTCAAGAAAGGAAGTGTCAGTGTTTGGGACAGCGGAAGAGCTAATGCTTTGCTTGTGCTTCGGTGGATAGATTCCATGACTGCCAAGCAGCAGCATACACACTGATCACAGTGAGGCATATTTGGAGGGTGGAGCATGAAGAGCAATGCGCAGTTGAGGGGTGATACAGAATGCTTGAAATTTACACCCCACGTTGCTATGTCCCTAAGGCAAGACAAAGCCTGATTTGAGCTCTTTGATTTAGACACCCAATGTTATGTAGATAGCATGTTGTTGACTCCATTTTGTGTGTGACTGTTTATAATGCTGGAAAACTGAGTAACACAAATGTACCAATTGCAATTAAAAAAAAAAACACAGGGGAATTGTGTAAAGAAAATGATAATCAATTGATTGGGCATCTCTATCAAAAAACAGATCTAATAGTTAAAATAAGTTCATCTTATATTTAACAAAATATGGATCCTACTTCAAATGTGTACTGATTCATTGAAAATATATGAAAAACATAGTGTTTTGGCACAATTTTCTAACAAAATAATGGACAGCAACAAAATGGTCAGCAGTGGGCCATTTCTCAAACATTCTGCAGTGACATTGGGAGAACACATCAAATGTCTCAAAGGTTCTTTGAATCCTCTGATCTCAATATACTTTTTGAAAATTTGTGAATGGCATTCTAGCCCTCATTTTTTGTTAATTTTCTTCACTTCTTTTAAATATTTCAAATGTCTCTCTTACCCAGCCTAGCAAATAAAGCTTTGTAATATGACTACTCAGTTTATAAAGCCTTCAGATTATACAAACAAAACTTTCAGATAAAATAGCAAATGCTTTCAGAACTACACTGGAGGGATATTTTATACTTTATAAAAGCCACATAAAATTGTACTCACACGCAAACTCATGAGTGCTTTATGGAAGTGTCCGATTGCTATGACTCTATTATATATTTATAAACAAACCTACTACAAATAATATAAAAATAAACTCTAAATGGTAATTAAAAACTCAAAACTAGAAAGCGTCTAAGGCCAACCATTTTCTCAAACTCCTCTGTAAACAGAAACAATGGTTTGTTTGTTTGTTTTTCCTTCGAAATCTAGTGTGAAAACGACATCCAAATCTAAGGAAAACATACGACGCGGTCCAACCTACCTACAGAGTCAGGAAGGACACACGTGGGCGGAGACTCAAGTGAACCTAGGGAATGATTGATCCTGATCCACATTGTATAGCCAGACAATAGAAAGATTGGCTGGAAAACACATTCATAAAAGCCATCCCTCTGCAAGGTGCAGTTTTTGGGTTCGGACGTAGGCTGAAGAGATGGACTATCCGAACAATACAGGCTGCTCCTTAAAAGATATTTAAAAAAAAAATAGCCAGTTAATACGCAGTATTGATAAGAGGGCAAAGACGTTTTAGAGTGCTGATGTGTTGTTCAAAAGAGATCACTTCTACCATCTAGATAGCGATGTAGGAAGGCACTCTCGTGCTCCCCGCTCTATCTGGATCTTAAAGTCTTTCCACAGACTCTGTCTAAAAAGCACTGCGCGGGCGGGCAATGAGGGGTGAAGGAAGCGAGAAGAGCGGGCAAGAGTAAAGTTAGGGATGGAGCAGCAGGACTGCCGGGGTGGATGTGCTAGGCCAGCGGTTCTCAACCTTCCTAACGCTGCTAGGAAGGTTCGTACAGCTCCTCACGTTGTGGGGAGGCCCAGCTACACAGTTATTGTTGTCGCTACTTCATAACTTCGACTTCGAACCATAACATAAATATTTCGGGAAACAGAAATTTGTCGAAGGGGTCGAGACCCACAGGTTGAGAACCCCTAGTGCCAGTGGCCTGTGTCAATGACGCAATTGTTGAAATAAGGATCGATGGAAAGTAGGACTAGGGGTGGGGAGTCCTGAGGCGGAAAAGAAAGCAGACTCTTCTTGTTTTAAACAGTGGATTAAATTCCAACAGAAATCAGGAATGTAACTGATGGGAAAATTTGGCTTGACGGCCAGTGCCCTAATCCTTTCTAGTCCAAACTGATGTAATGAAAATAACACCAAGTCCTGACCCATACATGAATGGCAGTAAAACATATTACTTTGTTTTCTCAGAAACGAAAACATTCTTTACACATTAGGAGTCTTTATCCATCTACTTTCTAATAGCACACAATGCATTTCTTCACCTTCTGTCACTATTTACTCTGAAAATGGTATTTAAGTGACTAAAACTTTGACTACTCTCTACAGGGATGAGAATGAGAAGTGGGGGGGAGAGAAAAACACTAAAATCTTTTCTTATTTACCACCTTTGTAATATTTTCTCCTCGATATTACCAAAGTATGTGCGTGTGTGTGTGCATGTGTGTGCATGTGTTCAGATAACTAACGATGATTGAGCAATGAAATGACTAAGGAATGTGTGTCAGAGGGTAGCAGAACAGCAGTGCAAAGATACCACGGCGAAAGTCTAACTTGGAAAGATCAGCATCATTGCCGCCATGACAGCAGTAGCCATTTATTGACTAATCCAATGGAAGGTCTCCTAGAAGGAGTCCCATTCCTTAATTATTACAATGAAACGAAATGTCACCAATTTCCCCTAGAAACCATGTAAATCCTACCATTCCTTCCATTTTACAGGCAAGGAAATTAACACTCGGGAGGGTCAAAACCCATCTCATCTTTGTAGTTGGTTACATGGTGACCCTGTGGCTATTCGGATGGTAAATGAGCTGTGGGGTTTTGTGCAGATATATGTTTGCATGTGAAAACACATGGAAAGACATATATAATTAAAATTGCCTATCAGAGACTTCCAGTTGATTTGAAACTCTTCAGAGCACATAGGATAAAGGCAACATTTTTGCCCCCACTTAAGAAAATACAGAAATTGTCAGTTTTCTTCCAATACTGCAGAGGAGTTGCCTCCGAACATGAGGCACAGAGCTCAGATCATGGGATCTGAGACAAGGGATATATCGTCCAGGTTAAAATTCTTAGACTTTAAGAATAAATGGGTGCCTTGAACAAACTGAAATTCTCCAATACAAATTTAAACACCAGTGCACAGAGTATAGGAGCAGTAAGCACAATGGACAATTGTCGTGTAGGATGGGTATGCCTCTTGCCCACCAGCGAGACACCGCGTAGGACACCCATGTCCAGACAAGGGGACTACCACATGGAGATGTCTCAAGTTGTTTTCAAACAAAGAGAGGTAAAAATAAGTACACACAGCTTTCTAACTTAATTCGCTTCATTCTAAAAAAAAAACAAAAAACCAGTCACACCTTGTAGCATCTTGTTCCTCTGTCTCTTTTTTCTAAAATACTGATCTTTAGCTGAATGACGTTGATTTTTTTTTAAAATAGTGCACAGCTGACTTTACCCCATTCTCTGAGTCAAAATATACTGCGTACGAAATAACTCCCTTGCCTCCTTTGCATGTCATCCAAGAGTCAAAAGGCAATTCCAGGGTAATTGGTTGGCAGACATGATAATATGAATTTAAAACAAACCACGTTTTTGTGTTTTTTTTTCTAGCCTTGGGTGTGCATGTTTTCAAAGATTACAAGTTACATAATTGCTCACAATTTTTCTATCAAATTGTATTCAAACTTCTGCTTAGGGAGTCTATCGTAATATCTTAACAGAAAATGTAATTGTGCCATGCCTGGGGCGGGGGGGGGGGGGGGGAGGAAACAAAGACGCAAACATCACACATACCTGTGATACCTCAACTCCACAGTGCTTCCCACAAGTGATTGGATTGTGCTGGCTGACCATCTGCAAGTCATTTTAGTTAAGTACCCATCAGTTTCACATGATAGATTGATATTGACATCTATTTAAAACACATTAAAATATTAATATAAAGCAAAAACACCAAAAATCATGAAAAAAAACCAAACATTTTCCTTACATCTTTAATAGGACTCTAACAGCATCCATGACAACAAGCGACCTCATGGAACAGGTTGGTCAAGGCCTTGGGATTCTTACCAATCACGTATAATTCGGCATAGCGGTGATGGCACTCTTGCTCATTGCAGCAGTATACTGCGTCATACGTGAACTTCCCGCGAGGTCTGGTGGCTTTCAAGTTGGAAAACGTCACTCTGCTAATGTGGTCACTCACAATGCTGTACTGTTTCTCAGGGATTTTCTCAGCCAGATTCATCCACCAGACTATCTGCTTTGAGGAGATAATCTGGCTGTCCTTTCTGTAGATGCAGTGAAAGGAAGCATTCGACCCAACGCTTGTCAGAATTTTGGGTGGGAAGTACATGACGTCTGTAACGAGGAGAGAGAAGTGGGTGTCCAGGTGGAAACAGAAAGCGTCATGGGAGGAAAGAGGTTCCTGTACCGCAGGAAAGAGGTTCCCACATTCCCAGCAACTCTGCCAAAACCAAGTAAGTGCACTGAGGATCTGGCTGATGCCCTGGAGAGCCTCGGGAACTCCTGTTCTCAGGGGGACAGCATGCCAAGCTTCTTTAGCATGAGCGCATTCATCACAACTATGTTTTATCCATGGTCATTTTCCAAGTCACAGGCAAAATTAACTAAATGAAGTATCACGTGGCTTGTGCCATAACGTATTTTCCACTGGGCCGTTAAAACTGAATGTGCATGAATGTTAAACAAAAAGGGGTGAGATGGCTCAACAGATAAAGGTGCTTGTCACCAGGACTGATGATGACCTGAGTTCAGTCCCTCAGACCGACATGATGGGCTGAGAGAACTGACTCCCACAAGTTGTCCTGTGACCTCAACCATGGGCACCCGTGGCACGTGGGTGCATGCGGAATAATTGTAACTTTGAAGTTTCAAGAGAGTCAGCGAAACAGCGTGTGTCCTTAGCACAGGTCACTGGGATCCAAAATCCTGAAGAAAAGGGGGTTTTGCTATCGTTTTCTTCGTGGTTATGAAAGTTTCTGATAACCACGTGAAGAAATGGGTAGAAGGTTTGCTCTGTGATACGATGTTGAAATTGAAAGTACGGCAATGGTTTTATACCTACTGTCCACAGCGGACACCCGCGCTAACTCAGTCCATGGTAAACAGACACGGGATAGCACTGAGCGCCATTTTATGGGCAAAAGCGGGGAGACTAGATGATGGGCATGACTGAGCGTGACCCCAGCCTTCGAGTGAGTGGACCTCACTGCTGGCCCGTGCCTGTCCCATGAGCCTGAGATGGGAATCTCCACTCATGCTCCACAGCTCCATTGCCGCACTGGCTCAAGCCTCAGGGTTATGCTTGCTTTCTCTCATGATGCATACTAACATTCTTGAGCAAACTGGTCAACACTCGCTCAGGTCCCTCTCACAATCTCACTTTTTGCCAAGCAATTGGCGTCAATCTTCCCATCTCTTTAAGTTTTAATACCTAGTCTGTGATATCATAAGCTAAAACAGTGTCTGAACGTTAAGAATTCAGGTGCTGTAACAAGCACTTCGTTGTGTTATTTCACACTAATCAGATCTTACAGACCCTGATCTTACAGACAAGGAAACTGAGGCACAGAAAGGTTAAGAACCTCTCCAAAGAAATCACAGTGATGATCCTTGTACAAACTGCTAGACTTCAGAACCAATGCTTCCAAGACACAGATGGCTTTCCAACTAATTAGCACTTCTTAAATACAAAATCATCAATAAGGATAACGGAGGCTGGTGAATGAAATGGATGAACTATGCTCAGTATTTGACATTGCTATTTTTGTGTAACCACAGGGGAGACTGAACAAGCAGAACCAAAGGACAGCTGAGTGTCTTCCTGAATTCACAACTGAGCTGTGGCAGAGTTAGAAACCACACAAGATTCTTGGGGCTCTGAGAAACACTGCATCTCACCTCTCCAAGAAACTTGGGAATAAACCGCAGTTTCTCTGGTGTTAAAAATAGCTTTGAAAGTAGGCAGAGAGGAGACGTGGCTGGATGCCAGACACGTAGGTCTATGAGTCACTGCAGCCAGATCAAAAGCCCTGGAGACCTCTCACACCTGAAAAAGACTGCTGACTTGCATGGGCCAGGGGTGGGAGTCTAGGTCAAATGTAGGACAGTTTTACTGAGCACCCAAGAGTGTCCGTTGCATCCACAGCATTCTCTGCAGTAACACGTGCTGGGGTGGATTTCCAGGCACAGCTAAGCCGGGCATTCTGAGCTGATGCCAACAGGTTGTTAAAGCAGTTACGAATGTCAAAGTAGCCGATTCCAAGAAAAGACCAAGACCCACCCACCACATGAAAAGCTTCTACCAGGCTTGCATTATTGGCAGGAAAACCTTTTGTAGGGATAAAGTCCATTTTTTACTGTTGACACCAGGTACTGTGGAACAGCAAACAAGTCTGCAAGGAACAGTAGCAAGACATTGCAGTATACTGACTACGGGGTGAGAGTAGTCATCCTGCAAAAAGGCTGGACTGTCACTGACATCCTCCAGGCTTTTGACATGAGGACAAATTTGATCCTCTGTAGTTCTGGTGAATCCAGAGAGCAAACCAAAGAATGCAAAGTAGCTAGAGTATGGGAAGAAAGAGGGTTAAAAAAAAATTGGGGGGTCTGTAAATTTTGTCAAAAAATTTTGTCACTATATGGGAAAAACACGGTATCCACCCTCTAAAGCATTGCTCCAGTGGCATTTGGTGGCACTAAAAAAGGTCCTGTGGCCAGGAAGAGAACTGGTTTTCCTAATACCCTGGCTGGATTACCTGGCCCTGTGCAAGGAGCTGGAGTCCATCCCACCAGGTAATGATTGTGTAAGGAAAAAAAAGCAGCCACCCTAGCAGCAGCTGCTGCCGTTGCTACTGCCAGCATTGCTGGAGCCGGAGGACTCACCAGGACAGGGCAGTCCATTCCCACCTGCAGCCCGCCTCTGAGAACTGGGGCTCCTCCACTTGGTTTAAGACCACTCTTGGGTCCACCAACTGGCCTGTCCCTGCTCAAGGAACGTTGCTATATATGCCTCCCTTCATAAATAAATTCCCTCCACCAGAAATCAGAGGTCGACCCTCTCCAGGGATGCACGCACAAAGACCCTAGAATGTTGCTGATAAAGATGATTTTTTTTTCTCTCCCCTCTAAGGCATCTCGTGAAATTGTATAGCCTGTGAGCTCTTTTGTCCAATCTTTTTGTATTAATTATAGTTAATAAAAAAATATGCAGAGCAATTAAAACAAAACAAAACAAAAAACAACCAAGCCAGGCATGGTGGTGCACACCTTTAATCCCTAGCACTCAGAGAGGCAGAGGCAGGTGGAGCTGTGTGAGTTCGAGGCCAGCCTGGTCTGCAGAGTGAGCCCAGGACAGCCAGGGCTACACAGAGAAACCCCGTCTCAAAAACAAACAACTCTGAAAGTATGAAGGAAGACTTTACTCTGGAAACTCCAAAAGCAGGCTGGCAGATGGCCCAGTAGGTAAAGTGCTGGCTGCACAAGCCTGAGAAACCTGAGTTGAGGAGCATAAAACGCAGAGCACTGTAATCGGAGCCTGTGATCTTGGCACTGGAAAGCAGAGACAGGAGGATCCTAGGGGTTGGCCCAGACCTCTAGTGCAGCTCAGTCAGCAAGCTCCAGGACCAGGACGAGACCCTATCTTTAAAAATAAGGTAAAGAATGACAGACAAAGTCAACCTGGCCTCTGCAAGCACGCACGTGTGTGTGCAAGCACACACTCTCACATACACACAGGCACCTCTAAAAGTAAGCATTTAATATCTTATGTATATGTCAAATGAGTGCACTTGAATACTAAGTGTAAACTGAAGAATTAACAGCATAAATGGTTTACTCTGGGTTCCTTAAGGTAGAGATTTCAAATTAACTGTGTCTTTTTGAAGTGTTTCACTAGATGGCCAAGAGAGGCCTCAGACTCATCCTCCTCTTGCTTCATGCTCCAGAATACTAGAATGCACAGACCTGGGTCATCATGCCCAGCTTGAATATTTCTTCCTTTCATATTAAAACAATCAATAAAAGAGTGTTTTGGGAGCAGATATAGTTTTCATTAACAAATTAACCTGTTCGAGATTTAAGTAAAATGTAGCTGGGCACAGGCACACAAGTCTTTAATCCTAGTACTCAAGAGGCTTGGGGCAGGAAGAATGTCAGTCCAAGGTCAGCCTTGGCTGTATTCCTTTGGAGACCTTGTCTCAAAAAAGTATTTTAAATACAATTTTAATATTATTTTCCCCTCTTGATCGGGGGAAATAAAATTTGAAGATGCTCTCGATACACCAATGGCAAGGAAGGTCTGGGAAAATATTTCCACAGCTAGTTTTGCAAGGCCTACCTTGTGTGGTAAAGACCTGAGGTGAACTCCAGTCACTCCAGATTCCTGAGCCATCCAGTCTCTTGCTCCTCACCTGGACCTCATAGGAAGATCCAGGAAGCACGTTGTTTACCAACAGGGATGCCGCTGAGACAATTTCAGCAGCCTGTTAAATGAGATGTTAAAACATCAGAACATCAAGTTGATGTGGGATGTTTGCCAAAACTAATAACAAGTAAAACTCAGCAAATGTCAAAGAGTTATAATCTTACAGGTGACCTGGCTGGTGATAGAATTAGAACAGAAATAAATGGCCAAACGAAAAACAAATGCCATGCATCTGTCAATGGCATTTTAAAGCACCTGTAGATCAATTGAAAACTGTGACAATTGATAAATATTAACTGAAAACTAATTTGTGTAAGGTCTTTAGGATTTTTGAGAAATGATCCTAAAGTTACTAGGAATCTTGTAGTTTTTTTTGCCATCTGTCACATATCTGGTTGACACAGTGTGCAGAGGTGTAGAGAGGATTGTTACAAGTCCCTCAGGAAAGCCGCGCAGAAGAGGGACAGCAGTGATGCGAAAGTCCTGACCCCCACCGTGAGCTACGGGGCATGCGTCAATGCACTTTATAAACCAGAGGGGAAGACATCTGATGCCAAACCCTACAGAAAACAAGCTCTAGCTAAGGATGCCCATGCAGCAATTCAGTTTTCTACTAATGCGCTTCAATTGAACTCCCTGCTTTCTTCAAGACTGTGAGGGGAAGAGATGGGTCATAGGTTAGATCTCATGAAAAGTGTAGGTATGCATGGAACACTCTCAGGACCTTCGCATTTATAGCCCTGTGATCTCCAACTTATTAATGAGAAAGTATCTCGGAAAGCCATAACTCCCAGCACCAAGGGCTCCCAAACTTCTCTCTGTAAAAATAAGGCCTTAGAAAAGTGACACAATTCTCAACAGGCCTTTTTAAAATTAATTAATTAATTAGAATTTTTATTTATTACAACTTATTCACTTTGTATCCCAGCTGTAGCCCCCTCCCTTGTCCCTTCCCAATCCCACCCTCACTCCCGCATCTCCTCCCATGCCCCTCCTCCAGTCCATTTATAGGGGAGGTCCTTCTCCCCTTCCATCTGAACCTAGTCTATCAGGTCTCATCAAGACTGGTTGCACTATCCTCCTCAGTGGCCTGGTACAGCTGCACTCCCCCAAGGGGAGATGATCAAAGAGCAGGCCAATCAGTTTATGTCAGAATCGGTCCTTGTTCCCATTACTAGGGAACCCACTTGTACACTGAGCTGCCATCGGCTAGATCTGTGCAGGGGTTCTAGGTTATCTCCATCCATGGTCTTTGTTTGGAGTATCAGTCTCAGAAAAGACCCCTGGGCCCAGATTTTTTGGTTCTGTTGCTCTCCTTGTGGAGTTCCTGTCCCCTCCAGGTCTTTCTATCTCCCCCTTCTTCCATAAGATTTCCTGCATTCTGCCCAAAGTTTGGCTATGAGTCTCAGCATCTGCTTTAATACCTTCTGGGTAGAGTCTTTCAGGTGCCTACCACAGAAGGCCTCTGAAAAGGTTGGTTTTTATATCATTCCTGCTGATGAAAACGGTTATAATTTTAAGTTAAAAGGACAGGCATGTTTAACTTTCATGAGTAATTTCTAAGAGACTCAGGAATTTTTAATCACTTCTAATTTTTTTTTAACCAAAATACACTTACCTCTCTTTTAATTGTTGAATTCTCTGAATATTTCACTTGATATTGAAGTGGAAACGGTGCCACTGTTGGGCTGTTCCAAGAAATCTTTAAATTACCATCGTCTGTGATTTCCATACGTAAACCTACTGGTGGATCAGGCTTCACTTAAGGAGGGAAAAAAAGACTTTTAAATCAGGCAATTTTCAGGGCAATCATATCCAAGTAAAATGAAGTTGAAATGAATTGCCAGCACAGCTTGCCTTTCAAATACTGAAAAAGTTACCTCATTCTTGTGCTAATTACAGAGCTAAAGCAAAGATGCATGATGGGTCCTTCCTCTTGGACCACACTCATCACAGCAATTTTGTTTCTTTTCCCTTAGGTGGGAAAGACTGTAAGCCAGTAAATGAGATGGTTTTGATGAACGTGATTTCCTTTTCTAAAATGTCTGCCTAACTTTACCTTGCCTAGTAATTTTCAGACTTACTGGGTGTCTGGCTAGGCCCTAGTGCTTTTGCTGGTCATGAGGACGACAGCAAAACACTATTCAGAAAAAGCACAGAGCTGGGCAAAAATCAGCACATTGATTCATGCAAAATAACAACCCAGACACACTCGTTTGACTCAGAACATTAACATCAATAAATGCACCATTAGAAGGACCTGCCTGTCAGCCAGGCGTGGTGGTGCACACCATTAATCCCAGCACTAAGGGAGGCAGAGGCAGGCAGATCACTGTGAGTTTGAGACCAACCTGGTTTACCAAGTGAGTCCAGGACAGCTAAGGCTACACAGAGAAATCCTGTCTTAACAAACAAACAAAGTGTTGGGGAGACTTGCCTGCCACTTAGACCCAAACACCCATCAGCATCTCCTCACCAATCACGAAGTGTGCACATATTCTGCCTCTCAGCACAGCCTCCCACACCCTCATGAGGATCTTAGCAATAAGAGAATGAGGCACTCCACCCATGGGAGACTGCCTTGTGCTTGGGCTATGCAGTGTATAGCTTGACTGTTTATTGGTTTGTTGTTATCTCTACTCACTACCACAAGCCCTGCTGTGTAAGTGGGGGCCCTGTGCTGTTCACGGTGTTTCCAGCCCCGACAATAGTCCCTGCATGACTTCTAAGATATATTTATTGGAAGAACACACACTTTTAATAATTTTCAGAAAATTATCTGAGGTGTAAACAGATTGAGAATCAGATAATAGACATCCCTTTACTACATCCAAGGACTTAAAGAAGCCATAGCTGCTTCAAAAGACCATTTCAGGGCTCATGTTAGAGACATTTACTACTGTGAACACACTGGAGAAGCCGCCAGTTATACCCTAGAACTGTATTTCCCATGCTTTTTACTATTGATCAAAGCGATGTCGGCCAGCAAAAATCTTTAGCCTACAGAGAACCATTAAAGCCCTTTCTGTGATGGATGTTTTAGGGCCACTGTCATTGTGAAGTGTACTTACCAACAAGCATGGGCTGCACTGACATTAGAGGTGACTGAAAACTCACACCAGCAGATGTGATTTCCAAATACATCAGAATAGAGTAGTTGAGTTTGGCTCTTGGTACCGGCACATGGCATTTACACTCCTGGACATTGCAGTTACACTGGACAGTCTGAAAACTGTCTTTCAGTGGGGCCAGAGACAAATAATCTACGACTTCAGGCCTGTATTTAAATATAAGAGCAAAATATGAGGATAGGTGTGGAAGTACTGGACAGGTTTTGAAACTGGGACATCAAATCCAGCTTAAAGATGGGCTATATCGGAAAACACAAAGAGGAGAATTAGAGCAGATCAATTGTCACGGGTGCAGACAGGAACTGACAAGAAAGCCCTGAGATACCACCCACAGTGAAAATATCCTTTAAAACAATTGTGAAATAAAAGCTCTTTCTTCTCAGACATACCTAAACTTAAAGAATCATCTTCAGATATGCATTATAAAAATGCTAAAGGAAGATCTTGGACGCAAGAAGATAAAAGGAGATTGAAATCTGGTGTCACACAGAGGAAGGAAGTTTAACGTTGAGGATAATTATTTATAGGCTAATTAAGGCAAACACGGCAACCATGTATGTACAGGGCATGGCATAGACCGCACTAAACTATGGAAGGTAAGTACCAAGCTGGGGAGGGAGCTAGAAATGTGCAACTGAAGTGATAGATGAAGTGATACAGAGTCACTTAGACTCTGAGACATGTCATCATTCAGAAGCCACTCAAGTAAAAAGTCATGCAGATAGAGCTAACAGGCAAAAAGCTGATTAAATGAAATCACGAAAATAACCTAAAACAGTGGGAAAATGTAACTATGGGGTGGTGTACTTGGGAGGCAGAGGCAGGCGAACCTCTGAGTTTGAGGCCAGCCTGGTCTACAGAGCTAGTCCCAGGACAGCCAAGGATACACAAAGAAATCCTGTTTTGAGGGGAAAAAAAATGAGAAAAGAGGCAAGAGGCTTAAGAATAGAGTTAACAGCATTAAATACAAATAGTCTAAATGTCCCATTTAGAAAGAAGTCGGTAGCGAACTGGGCAGAAAATAAGACCCAATTATAAACCTCTCATAAAAAAATCAATTTTAACACTAAAACTCAAATTTAGTAAAGGACATGGTTAGAAAAAGATATGCTATTTCAAGATAAATAAAAATAAAGGTGAATGGCTATTTAATATCAATTAGAGTTGAATTCAGCACAATAATTATTTTCCAAGGTAAAGAAGGTAATTCATAACAAAGAAAAATTGCGGATGAGGTCACTAAAAGTATATAATGTGTATGTACCTAATAAACGGTAGAAATAGGCAAATTCATAATTACTGCTGAAAAGTCCAACCCTTCTCTAATGATTAATGTAACAAGTACACAAAATGACTCAGGGTTAAGAACTGGACAACACTGTCAAACCACTTGACCCATGTAATGAGATTGGTTCTCCACATCCTCGCCATAGAAGTTCACCTTGCAGCAAGCCAGCAAGCAGCATTGCCAATGTGTGCAAAACAAGCCATCTGTCCCGTAGAAGGACAGTGTTTGCCAAGAGCAGCAGAATTTCTGACAGGAGACAGTAGACCTAAATATGTAACTATCTATTTAACTCTGAGGAGGAGGTCAGGGGCCGAGGAGATGGCTCGGTGGGTGAGCTGCTTGCTACAGTTGTGAGGACCTTATGCTGAACTCAAAGAACCCACATAATTTCTGAATGCAATTGCAAGCATCTGTAAAGCTGGTTCTCTTACTAAAAAACTGAAACAGGAGAATCCACAGAAGCTCTCAGGCTAACTAACCTGATTTCTTAGCAACAAATAAGAGACCCTGCCTCAAAGCAAGGTATGATGTGAGGACTGACACTCTAGGTTGTAATCTGAGCTACACACACACACACACACACACACACACACACGTTGCTACCATCTATTTCATTCTTATGTATACGAACACATTTTACTTGAAAGTACATAATGATGGAAGAACATTTGTTAAATAGATTTTTAAATGTGGCTTCTTTGCAAACTTTACCTTGAGCAAAATTTTCTAGTTGGAGACAAGTATTTGGAATTTAAAATTCATTGTTAATAGCCACACGTGATTCAGAAAAGGTACATTCGGTCCTCTGACCTTTGATACAACGTTTTTTTTCTTCCCATAAAATTTCTCTATAAAATCATTAGCATTCTCTAAGCCAGGCTTAGGCTAAATTAGTATAGGAATGCTGCCAAAGAGTGCCACCTGAGGTCCTGGTTTAGGAAAGTTGACAGTGTAACCCAGTACACAACCTTTGAGCTGTAAAAAATGGCTCCACAAAACTTTACCTTGCTAATATAAAATAATTCAAAGAATATACATTCTTAGACTTCATATGAAAATTTCAGTAGGTTTAAGGTCACAGGTTCTGTGTCTTTAATAAATACAAATGTTCTACCTCTACCTGAGTCCCACTGGATAGGCCTGGATGGGAGGGTCTAACCTAGATAAGCTTTACTGAGGAGGGAAACTACTATACTAAATTCTCTCTCCAAATAAGTGGGAAATCAACAAGGACAAACGGAAAGGAAGAAGAAGAAAAGCATCGACAGAAAGAAAAGAATCTCAGTGTTTCTCACTAGTGATAAAACAGCAGAGAGGGGAGAAAAGACCCACATGAATTAGCCATGGACCACAATATTATGGCCACGAAACATTAAGCCTTAGTACTTGAAATGGGTGTGGACAATTATGCCCTCTGAGATGTTTGTTTTCTCACAGTGGCACATTCCCAAACTTTTATGCATACTACAACTTAGCAAATAATGGATACATTTCCCTATTGTAGGAGGGAGAACTAAGTTTCTTGATACTAAGTACTAAGGAAGAAGGAAAGAAGGAGATAAGGGAGAGGTAAAGAGGGAGGGAGAAAGAAAGAGAAAGAGACTGGATTAGAATGGGACCCTAGAAAAAAGGGGGGGCAGGCCTAGTGACACATGATTTTAATTCCAGCACTTGAAAGGCAGAGACAGATGAAGGGGCCAGCCTGGTCTACAGAGTGAGTTTCAGGACAGCTAGAAACAGAGACAGAGAAACCCTGTCTGGAGGCAGGGGCGGGGGGTGGGGAATGGGACATTGGAAGGAACACAAATTCAGTCACTATGGGTGCATATAGAGGTATAGTCTTGTGTACATATGTGTAACTGGCTGACTGGCTGTGTGGTCTGGAAGGGTTAGAAGCAATGCCAACTACAGAAACTTCCAGATGGAGTTTCATAGCTCCCATCCTGCAGTAAAAATCCACACAGCTGCTTCTGCTGTGGGTCAAGAGTAATGCCGGGAAAAGAGAGCTCAAAAACCAGTAGTAAAAGGGACTGGAAACAATACCAGGGCACAAGAGCCAACTTGAATTGGCTCTCACTGGGCAAGTAGAGATTAGTTGGAGTAATAAAACTGTTGAAGTCTGGAATATTGAAATCTGCTGTGAGACATAGTTGCAGCCATTTCAGCTTCCATTTTGTTTCTAAGGTAAAATTAAGGTCAAATTTTTAAACTTCTAACCTTGCTTCCTAAAAGTAGTTATTCATAGCTGACAGTAACAAACTCCGCCAAGGATCCAAGTTAACCTATACCAACAGACCCTGCCAACGGGTCTAGATGACCTTATACTTTGTATGATTCAATAGTGCCATACCTCGTACTTGGTTATGTGTACACTTGGCCTCACTCTGGTTGCACTCTGTTATCTCTGCTTGCACTTGGGCTGCACTCTGGAAGACCCTCACTTAGGACCAATCAGCTTAAAGGTTAGCTGACAATACTTCGTCTAGTTAACCGAAAAAGTAATATTGCTTTGTATTGTCCTTGCCATGTCTTTTGCATTTGGTTATTTTCCTATAAAAACTCTGCTGTGAGACCTTGCAGAGGTCACAGCTAGGCCCCTGAGTTCTTACTGTGGCCCTCATTGATCAGCTTGCAGAGGCCCTCTAATAACCCATCCATATCTAGCCAAGACCAGTGTCTGAGTGGTTTGTGTGGCATTTCCCAGTCTGGAACAGAAATAACAGTAGTAAGCGGTACGCCTGTAAAATAAAACCCACTGGCCCTTCCAAAAGGGAGGAAAGAAGGGAGGGTGAAAAGTCCATTCATTATCTAGATTTAGCCCTTAATAAGCATCCTTCTTTTCCACAAGCTTTTCTTATCCGGCATCGTGAGGATGCTGATATTCAGCCTAGGTGTCAAGATGACCACACTGAAAATTTCTGAGCATGTCCTGTATTCAATAACTTTATCCATGGGTCTAAGCCCCCTCATGCTCTGTGTACTCCTCTCTCTGTCGCCTTAAATTGGCATAATTCCAGGCGCTGCACAAGTTTCCCAGCCCTGCGCTGCATTCTGGAAGTTTGCCCCACCCTATACGGCTAGGACAGTTCAGAGGCAGCTCCGTTTCCTCCTCTCAGGGGTCAAAGGTCTACTCCACTTCCGCCCAGTGTCAGAAAAGTTATTTCCCTCACTTTACAGTATCCTAATTGTCTGTGATGGAAATTATTTATTTTAGTTTCTAAGTCATCTTTGTTGTGTTTTTTACAATACTCTTTGAAGTGGAAACTGTACTCAGGCAGTCCAATGAGGACCAAAAGACTGGCCAAGAGGGTAAAGGGTAGATCAAAAAGAACAAGATAATCAAAATGGCTGGATGATATAGGAAAGGGTAGCTGGGGGAAGGGCAGTCTAGCCCCTTGGCTGAAGAAGTTTAGCATGGTAGACAGGGCATGCCAGCCAAACCCTGTAACAGGGAGGGGTAGAGAGATGCTGAGAGAACTGGCTGGTGGCCAGGTCCACTCTGATATGTTAATGGGCACCTCAGTTAGTCATTTGTCCTGGGTTTGAGACCTAACAGGAAAGCCTTGAATGCCAGAGAAAGCACACTTAGGCTTTGGCCAGTATCCAAAGTAGGAAAAAAAAAGAAAGAGAGAGAGAGAGAAAGAAAGAAAGAAAGAATAGAAAGAGAGAAAGAGGGAGAGAAAGAAAGGAAGGAAGGAACGAACAAACGAACGAATGAACGAAAGAAAGATTATGATGTTCTGAATAAATCAGAAATTTGACCAGGCCACGTGGTGTCTCCATAAGTCACTGAGTAGGGAAGAGGCTTCTGGGTAGGAGAGACTATCTCACCAAGATGTTAATTAGTTCATCCCTTGC